TGTCTGTCTGTCTGTTTGTCTGTCTGTCTGTCTGTCTGTCTGTCTGTCTGTCTGTCTGTCTGTCTCTGCTTATGTATGCGTGGTTCGATAAATGATTTTTCTGTATTCGTGAATGCTTCGCAAATAGGTCTAAGTGATCGAAGTATCTTTTGCCAATCAAGTTCAAAACATGCCCCAATCAAATCACACTAAGATTTCCATCTGTTTAATAGATCGACACTCCAATGCAATTGCATCCAACTTTCTCCACATTGGGCTTCTTGTCTGATAAGAAAACAGGGAACGCAAAACTGCGGGTTCTCGGGTGGTCATCAACCGATGATCTGGGATGCCAAGTAATCAATACTCACACGTGACCCAAGTAAAATAAATTAAATAACTAGTGAATGAGTCACCAATCCGTATGCAAATTCGATGGTTTTGGTGTACTGCCGAATTTCCGGGGTTGAATTGTCCAGCGCGAACAGGGAAAGTTGACAGGTCACATACTCCGAGGTCAGCTCTCATTCATTCCCTCGGACTGAATTCTGACGACCCACTAACCGATTCCATTTTCTGAATCGGTCACGGTTGTAACCAAATCAGAAACATTTAAAACACTTATGATCACCAACTTCAACTAACTCTCAGCAACCCATATTTACAGTGTTCTGATACCAACCAATTTTTCCCCCTACAAACTTTATTACTTACTCAATTTCCTTTTTAAATTCAATCTTTTTCAAGCAACATGGCTACTAAAAGCTAATAACAAAATCAAATAAGTGCTGTCTTCTCTTTGATCTCGCTTTGCACAACCACTTTGGAACCTTATGTTTGATATCAACGCACATACGACTGTAGACCGATTACGTCATCCACTTTTGTAATCAACGGTTAAATTGAGGAAACAGGAGCACAACCTTTCGCAGAGAGTATGCAGTATTCGGAGTATACGCGGAGACGTAATAGAACTCGTGCAGCTACCGCAATTTCCCGGTACCCCGAGACGTATTGGGAAAAGGTCACATAACTAGTGGTTATGTAATTGAAAGAAATCCAACGAATGGAAACCTGTGTGTAGCTATACCACAGGCTAAGCCAATAATGACCAATCAAAGTTTGTTTTCTTTTGAACATATGAATACTGCTTGAAGCAGATGACTATCGACTGACCCAGAATATCAGCTTCTCATTGTTCGTCCGGAAACTGTGTCGCTTTATTCGAGGACTGGTGCTATTATGGCGCTTCGGATCATCACAGAACGGCAACAAAAATGGACTGCAAACCTACAACTGAATAGTTTTTCCCATATCAAGATTCGGGGCCACATGGGCCTCGTATATCGAATTTTGCATCCACTTAACTATCTGCACTGCACCATGCGGACACTATCCATCAATCCCTTAAAACTGATACGTCGCTGAAGAGTTGACTAGATTTTCCGAACTACTCTTCAAGTATCATATATACTGTGTGCTGCACCCAAAACTACTCCCACACACAAGTTGGTTTTGCTTCAATGGGCGATAAGGCGTTAAAATGTCTAACTGTTGAACATCCGTGAATAAATCAGAATATTTTATTATTATTACTCCAACCACTGCCCAAACTCAGTGTGCAAAAACTCCAGGAGATAGCTTTGTACATTACCCACAATGAACTTTTAATTTTAGTATAATTCAACTGTTGCAGAGAGAGAGCGCATGCGTGCGCAACTCAACCAGCTGTTGTGTGTCAGCGATCGGGTGCTACCAGTTCTTACGGTACTCTATGCGTCACATCATGAACGGAAGATTTGTCAGATATTTTGGATAATAAAGAAGAACAACTCACCGTCCAACTACCAGGCATGCTTGAGCATAGATTGTTTTTTTTGCCGTAACTACACAGGCCTAAATTTGGTTGTTCCCCTACACCTAATTAGTTGACACTGCTATGCACTGTAGGGCACAGTCGACCTCGATAGTCTATCCCGAAGATCTGTTTGGTTGGAGACCAGACACAAAGTCTCAACCTGAAGAAGGAGCCGGCTGTCCTCTGCGATAAATTAGAACAGATTAGAACACATCGCAGTCCGATTGCACAGAGCAATAGGCATCTCCTCGATTCCGGATTATCGGTGGACTGAAAGCAAATTGATACTGCGTCGCGATCCAACATGGATTGCTATGTGAAGCATTAGTTCGTGTATAGCGATTGATCACTGATCGAACTTCACACATGATTGACCTTGAAAACCCAAACGCGTGAAACCGAAATAATGAACTGACCTGGGCATATAATTTTGTATACTTTACTCCTCAACCTGCCAACCTCACTCCCCTCCCACACACACTCTTGAAACAAAGGAGAAGAAAGACAAAAACCTTCTTTCGCTTACCTTCCCCTCTGTTGTGGCCTGCAGTCGAGTGATGTGCCCATCACGAGATTGACCGTTGAGGCCCGCCACCACACACACACACGTACGCACCTCATGCAGACTTACTCTATTATTCTATTAGTCTCGTTGTTAATTTTTAGTTTAATGCAACCGGTTTTCATCTCCCTTCCTCCGAAAGACTGGTCTTTGTGAATTCGATCACCTTTGAAGTTCTGTTTGAATAACCCTTGCACGAGTAGACAACATAAATCTGTCATGTTTCTTGATTATTGTCGGTTTGAATTGCTATCGTTTATTCTCCCTCTCTCTGTCTCTCTGACCCGCAATCAGCGGAATCAGTTCCGTTTCAGTTAAGACGTCTATCAGTCATGAACATTCGTGCAACGGTTTTGGTTGTCACTTCGGTTGAGGGAGTAGAAGGAAGATTGGAATTTGGATTGTGGTGACAATGCAAAAGATAAAGTTTCAAGGACAATGAGTAAATGCACAAGTGCCACTCACTCATCTCACTTGATCTCCCTAACCATTGATAACAATGATTCCGAGGTTTCCAATCCGGAAGCCTAACGTAACTTATTTGATCGAGTCTCCTAGTCAAAGATTTTATGTCCTAATGTCAGGCTTTATTTTGAATTTATCTCTTCTTTCACCCACTACCTGTCTCGATGAAGATTGCACAACGAGACCGTTTACTTGACGACAAGCATAACACATGCCCCCCCCCGCAAAAAAAACGTATTCTATGGAGGTTGACCGTTTGTTCTAGTCGGCGAACGCAACCGCTTGAAAACTCTGTGCCTAAACTCAGTATTATTTATCCGGTTACCCGACCAGACTCGTGCAATGGTGACGTAGACAGTGGTGTTCGAACACCGAGAGTCTATCGTTATCTTGTTTCCGTAATGGCCCAATATCTGCACCATAAAGCATCTCTGACCGAATTGTTACAGCATATACTCAACCCTTACTTCACAGACAGCCGGATATCACCAGAGCATTGCACAAGTCTGTCGCTGGAAAATGTCATTCGAACCTCCTGTATGTGCACCGAGACCTTATCCGAAATGTGTCTGTCCTCTATGTGAAGTGTAGCTGTATGGGTGAAAAACTTTTCCACTCGCCCGGTTGCTTCTCCAGTTGCAATCAGGGGGTGGGGGGTGAGAGGATTGGGGGCCGGACCAGTCCAGTCCAGTCCCGTGACAATATTTTACACTTTGCAGTTACAAAATGCATGTCAAATACGATTACAGTAGAACTCAAACCATGCAAAAACGCTTGCAACTTACCTGAGGTATAATGCCATCTATATGCCACAGTTAATCTATAATAATGCCACCTAGAAGCAAGCAAATACCGCCATTTTCGCGCCGAGCCAGGGCTGTTGTAAGAGTCAAACTCATTACAAAAAAGGAACAGAAAAGAGGAGAAAGAACAAGCCAAACGCTGCAATCGCAAAAAGATGTCTTATGTTCCACAGACTGCAATTAGTGTACTACACATTTTGTCGCACGATATCATTCACGAATCACACACAACACAATAACGCAAAGGCACAATATCAAAGTAGGACACACTGTGCCTCCAACACAAGTTGATCTAACACAATAAATGTTACTCTCCTAATAACAATGAATTGGAATACAGATTGGGTGCCACAGACGACATGCACAATATTACAATATTACAATATTACAGTACTCGGGCGGGTATGAGGAAGATCCGAACACTACGGAAAACGTATCTCAGTAACCATATAAGTCGTCTAGCACCAAAAAGGCAACCACAACTATGAAAGTAAGAACAAATGTGACAAGCAAATCATACATAAATCATTTACGGATTTACGGCTTCTCCGGACACAGAAATCTTGAGAATGAATGCGAAAATGAGAATATCTACAAAATTGATCAATCATCGGTCAGAAAATGGAGATGGATGAAGTGTCAAAATAACAGAAAAAACTATATGAGTTGCGAAAAAAAGTTAAAGTACTTTTTAGGTAAAAATAACCCCTTTACTTATCACTGTATTTGTAAGAAAACCTGCACCTGTAAAACGCATTGATCAGATCCATGACACAGGAGCTGAGAATTCCAATCGTTGAGATGGCGTCTGGTTTGGGAGCCAAGGTGTGAATGGGGATGGGAGGAACTTGAGACCTCCTATCTGGTTGCAAAAAAAACCAGCACTGGAGTCTGAGTTGCAGTGTTCTGACCCTGTTCACTGAGTTTCATCCATTCAGATCACTCATTAGCAGGGGGACGAAAATAGGACCCAAACAACATGAAATTCGATTAGGCTATTCTTCCCGGTCTTTAGGTTCAATCATCTTACTAATACATTTCAGATTTGCATGATATGATTCTCCGTGATCGAAACGAACGTGATACCGTAAACCAGTTAGAATGTGAGCATGCTTTTCTTTTTCAACCAGATCCCGAACACCAGGTGATTGCCACGTACGTTCTACGGTAAGTTGAATTCAGCTCCATCTGTTCCACAACTTCAATTCGGTGTTCAAACTAAACTGGATAGTTGAGTCTTCCGATTCGTCAGTTATTAGTTGATGGTGCTTTCGACCTCGGCGAACAAAATGTGTGCCGGGCGATGTGATATGCTGATCTGGAACAATGTTCAAGGGACCTCATTGCGGTTAGGCTGAATGGGGAAAACCTTTAAACAACTAGTCGACATCCCCAAAGATGACACCAGTCCTGGTAATCTAAGAAAATTTAGAATTTGAACAGAGAAATCAGAAACCTGGGTTTGCACAATGTATCTTATCTACCATGGTCATTTTGCTGCATCTGTACATGCGTGCATACTGTAGTCGAGCTAGATGAAAATTAATTTGGTAAGTTATTGAAGTTGACTGTTCAAAACAAGACGATAAATGCATATGGTGTTGAAGGACAAGAGACACCGAATGTGGTAGTGCGATTTCCGGTGTGGCGGGACCACTACCACAGCCAGACTAGTTTAAAACTGGATCGGGGCACGGGAAGTGGATGACATGTAAGTCTTCTGGAGCTAGTGAAATGGATGTTTCATGTACACTATTTATGCTTATTTATTTATCTATTTATTTATTCAAGCCATAATGGCACGAATACTATTCAACTGTTGAGTATTTTCATTAGTTCTTTTTCCAGAACTTGAAGTTATCCGTCAAACATGTTGGATAGCATCCATAAAACTGTACGTATTCTGCTTTGATTGATTCTTGTCAACGCATTGACGGTCGGAGAATGAATCAATCAAAATCCATCTGTTTCAAAGGGGAATCATGAAACATGAAATACGATTGAGCAATGATGCTTTAACCAATGGATTCTTTTTTCACATATTATTTAACAGCATTCTGATTTCTTGCCAGAAACTAATCACTTTGTCTATGGATCTCCTCTTGCATCTCGGTGACGGGAGATCTCGCCAACCAACTGTGATTCGGACACATGATTTGTGTCTGTGATGATTAATACAAAATTCCTTTGAGATGGTTTGCTTGTCTCGAGCAGCATCTATAGTTTAGTCTCTCAAAAGGTTAAGAACTATCTTCTTGAAACACATATTGCGCAACATTTATTTTTCATTTTTAGAGTATCAAATTTGGTTTAGCCCATTGGCTTTTTAAACGCACCAGGCACTGTTGACCATCAAGAGTGCCTGGCGCCTCAAACGCGATCCAGTCTGTGATTTAAACTCCTCGATTCGTATTCCGTGATCCGTACCACTACTACTACTACTACTACTACTACTACTACTACTACTACTACTACAACTACCACTACTACTACTGTGGCGTACATATAATGGTTCCAGGTTGCGATTGGGTTGCGCATTCCCTAGGTCGAGTACAGCTTGACTGCCTTGAGTTTTCCAGGAGTAGACCAATGGACTGGAGTCAGTTGAAACGCCAGTTGTGTCTTCTTGCGCATTGGTCCTGATGTGGCGAATCGATCGATTTATTCAGAGCAAATTCTATCTCAGTGAGGATTGTGTTGAGACTGCTGTGTTGAGCTGTCATCAAATTAGGGGCACATGAGTTGAAAGAAATGTTGTCAACACATGCGAATTTTTAGTCTACCAGTAAGTAATTTATGGTGATTACACCTCCAACTGTGCTCGATTTACGAGGGATGGAATTTTACCCGTCATGAATTCGGTTCTGACAGGAGACAAATTGTTGTTCGCACAAACAAATCAATTTCATTCCATCCTCAGTCAGGAGCACAGCACAGCTGAGCACAGTACATCAAAGCGTGCACACACACACACACACACACACGCCTACTTGATAATGAGATCCAGTTCCACCCGTTAGTCACGTGTTCTTTAAATGAATTATCGGTCTCCGTTTTGTCAACCTAAGTGACAGTTGACAACAAAGATATCATTTGGGTTTTTACGAACCTTTTTGCATTTTTTGTTCCGTTTTCAGTGAACTTAAACATTAGCATTGCTCGTCTGTTGAATCTTTTTTGGGTACTATCTTCATTCAGATCCCCGTTTAGGTTGAAAAATTAAAAATAAGCACACGATATAACTAAACGACGCGGAGAGTAACGGTAGCCAAATGAAAACAAAATCTAACTATTTCAAATATCTGCGAATCAGTTGCCGAAATCTCCTGATAGTGAGATACAGGGAGAAAACCTCAGAAATAGTGGTTAGTCTATGAGAACAAAAATAAGCATTGACCAGTGGGGCTATTCGAGTTCTTTCATTCACAATATTCCCTGTTGAATAGAGTCAAATTTGATTCGTCCAGAATAACTGTTTCGCATCGGTTATCCTGAATCTGTATCGTATAGCTTCCTGACCAGCGTTATCTCGACCATTGCAACACCAGATTAGGACTATGGATGAAGTAAGCGTGTGTATGTACATGAATCACCAAAAACACGCAGGCAAATCACCAAGCGTTTGTATCCACAGATCAGATTAGGTATCCTGTTCAAACGTGGGAACCCAAAAGTGAACAGATTGGAGAAGTTCTCGGGTCAAGGTTTTCATTCATTTTTTTCGCGGGATATGCTCTGACAGTCATTAGTTGTTGTTCATCTTGATAAATATCGCACACTGACAAGAGAGCCTATCCACGGATATATTTAACATGTTCTGTCTACCACAATCTACACAGATCAAGTACGTGCTTGATCGCCACCATCTGATACTTTTCGCTTAGTCTAGCCATTCTTTGCCGAGTGCATTCCCGATCACCGAGAGTTTGTTTACATGCTTCTTTCATAACGGACAGTAGTGTGCACCCTACAGCAGCAATGACCTACTGGATGAAGCATATCTTGACGCTCTAAGGATAACCGGGTGCCAAGGCGGTAACAAAGATATCTTAAGTTGAACCACTGTAGCTGTTCACTTGTCAGTCTGCGGTGATCCGACCTTTCGAGATAAAGACAACGAAGAGCAAATCTATCACATTTTGTGGACAATGAATTAGGGGCCAACAGACCTGTGGTGATCCTAAGAGATGATGCATACGGAGCGACTCGTTACAGTTTTCAAACAACTGTAATGAATCAAGCTTCCCAGGTGACGTCAGCAATGCATATGTGCCACAGCTTCTGAACTACACACCATTGGTTGATTGTACCAACCAATCAGAAACCGTACGGCGCAGACAGAAGCTGAACAACGCCAGAAATATTGGAAAGCGATTGGCAAAGGCTTGAATGATCAATGAGCTTGTTTTTGTACGTATTATTTACCCCCCTGGTTGCTTTGAATAAACAAATTGCTATTCCTGTGGCCTTTCCTCGCGTCTTGGTTACGTGGGATACTGTTGTGCATGTACCGGTTTGGTCCACTGCTTACGCCTCGTCCGTGATTGCTAATCTGTGATTCGTATTTCATATTCAGGGCGTATCACAATTACTACAAGACCTTACCAATCAAAAACAGTGTGGTTCGATTTGGAGTTCTGTGACGAAGCGAACACAAGCGTGTGGTTGGTTAAGGTTTGTTTAACCAATTAAATTTTTTCAAAATATTATTTTATCTCATTGATTTCATCTAATCAACTAACAGATACCTGTGTGTCGCTTATCGTGCGACCCGGTGCCGTTAGATTTCGGCGGATGACTACCACTGTGACGGTGACTCAAGGATCCTGACTCCTGGGTCATGAATCGGGATGCGTAATGAGTGCTCATTCAGATTACGACACAATCATACAGGCGACTTTCAGAAAACAGAAAGCATCCAAATAAAGGCTGCTAGGGTAGGTTAGATGATTGTGCTGTGATGTTGATTTTGATGATGTCAGTGTTGGCAGTGGTTAACCCGACGGTGGTGATGGTGGGTTTTGAACGGACTTCTTCCGGGGCAATGTTATGATGGCTTAAACGACTTGACTGTGACAGTGTATCATAATCGAACTGAATGAGAATAAACAATTTCGAGGTTGAAAACACTTCCCAGTGGGAACGATGGTCGTCAAAACTCAGAGATACGTTGTAAGATGCAGTTAAAATCGATTTCAGAAAGTACGAAATGAACATTGACGAGTGTACTTGTGGTGATCCAGGCCTATACGATGGCGCCTACCCTGGAGCGGCGCGTTACAGTTGGAGAACATTGGCGATCGATCAAGTTTGAATGCTGACGTCAATGTCCCATTGGTGAAAGCTCAGATAGCTAATAATCTCCCTTTGTACATATTATTTATTCGCCTTCATTTCCTTCAATAAATGAACTACTGCTTACTACCATTCCTGTGGCGTTTTCCTCGCTTCTCGTTCTCGTGGGACATTGCGAATCCGTGCCATTGTGGTCCAGTACCCCTGAGATCCAGTCCGTGATAGCTGATTATTGATTCGGGTCCTATGATTCATATTGCGTGGTTGGTGTTCCGAATTCCGTGCGTATTACTACGATTACTACAATCATTACAGTACTCCCTGGCGCTTCTTGTCGAAGTTGTCTCACAAGCTTAGCGGACTGTTTACGTTACACGAATTTTTACCATCAGTAATCCATTGTCAGCGCAATGTCGGTATCTTTTGGTTGATTTCAGTCACAAAAGTAAAGTACATTAGAGAGAGAGAGAATATTCTGAAAATTACACANCCGATTTCATATAAGAGACATGAATGTTTGGTTTTTCAAAATACATGTTCAAAACCTGTCCCTGTGTTCACTGTCCGATTGTTTATTATCATTCGATTCATTTATACCGTTTGTTACCCTAACTGTAAATAGACACATTGGTGCATAATTAATGAGAGTTTTAATCATGCGAGTACACACATGCTTTTTGTCAACAGCCATCATGACCTATCTATCCCTGCGACTGTTGCACTACGGGGTACGTCTAACCCGGAGAGAAGCACCTTTACCGCTTTCCTTTTAAACTTTCTCTTTTACTTCCTACCCCAGATCACTAAGTGCCTGTTCTTAGTTCGGCAGTATACTCCTCACAGATCCTACTCTCTCTCTCTCTCTCTCTCTTCCGATCCGATTAGACCAGGTTTTGTTTTTGCGGCATCTGCGACATCTTGCTATTGGACGACAGTCTCACGGTATATGCTCCACTTTTGTGTTGAAATAGTTAACCCCAGTTTGTGGGCTAATATTACTGCCCAGTGAAAAAGGTGTTCACGTTCAACTATGCGATGGCCTCGTGCTATGACAAAACGCATATCCGTGAGGCTTCTGATAACAGACATGTGTTTATGAAGTTTATGAAGGTCCAAATCGCGGATTGTAAGTGTCATGTTTTTTGTGTTTGACTTATGATAACCACCACGACCAATGTATCAGGGTTTTGCATGGACAACGAATGAGAGTATTGGACCGGCTAATCGGGGTTCATTTTGCTCATTGTTGAATTCACTTGGCAATCTCCACTCATTCTTCTTTTCTAGCTATCTATCTGTAACGCAATTGCCTATCCATGTTCACATCCGTGTTCGAAAACTACCAATTTTTCTGACTCCATAATCAGTTATGTCTACTTATATCTGTCAATTCATTTTCCTGTCACAGTATACTCATCGGTTATTCTCTCGGCCTTATTGATAGGTTTGAAATTACACACACTACGGTGTGAGAATGATTAGCCTCTGTGAATAACTTCAACACCAAGCATGCAACCACAAAATTCGTTCTTGTGTCAGGATTTTGTGGGAAGAGCTTTCAAAGAACGCAGATCACCGTTTACCAACACAGAGATAACATCATACAGGCGCCAGAGCTTCAAAGGCTCAACACTTCCGGCTGATTTCTTATAGCACAAACAATGGCAATTTTTAAGTCCGTTATTCAATATGGGCCTAAGCAGTGTGTGTGTGTGTATGTGGAGTAAGTGAATATTTGTCAAGTAAATTCGTCGCACAGCGGACGGTACTCATACACTACGTAAATTGTTTGCTCAGCGATCAGTGTTTGTCATATCGGATGGATTAATTCCGCAATAGCAAACTATGGAATAAAAGGCAACTAGACAAAATAGATTGGAATCACGTGACAGTAGTTTGTCGCTATCTCACTGAGTACCAGTAATGAAAAGCAGACAAACTGCAATTCAATTTCTTCATCTCCAAACCTATTGTTTTTCATTAGATTTGGCATGGATAGGGTTGCCTTAAAAGCATTTGATTTCTGTTCACTACAAACTAAACCAATCCGGTAGTTTATCCTCTTGTGGAAATTTTCTTCTCCTCAATGTGAAGTCATTCATCATGAGTGCAGTGTGTTGCTCCAAGTAAGTCACATCGAACGTGGCATTCATGATCAGTAGTATGATGTAATCAGTTGGAGAACCAGGAGAATTAAACTGAAACTTTGAAAACCGAGGACGAACAAGCAGTAAGAGGAGATGTGAGTTAACAAATGATAAGCAGTATCCTACTGTTATCTACTTTCCATTAAACAGCACTGACATCAAACCAGGTAGAGCACGTGGATCAGATAGATTCATGTTATCTTTCGGAATAGGCACGCATATTATTTCTATTCTTCAATGTCTTTCCATCCACCCATCTCACAGTAACTGAATATTTGCTATGGGTGAACCCCATAAAATCAATTCAGTTCAGCTTTTACAACCGCTAACTTACATGCACTCACATGCACCGGTTTTGATTGCTCTCTCTCTTGACTGCCCAATTGGATAAAAGGTAAAGGAAACATTGGAATATTGAGAGGAGTTTCAGAGCGTAAACAGAAAAATTCATAACGATGTCAAAGACATTGAATAGATGCACGAGCGCTACTGTTATCGACACTGAACCATATCACTGATTGTTACTACCCAACTAGGAAGCCAAACGTGACCTATGTAAGGAAGTCTCATGGTAAGGGTTTTCATACCCGCATACCAGGTCTTAGTTTGATCACTTTATTTTTCCCCATTCATCACCTACCTCGGTGACCAGCACTCACCGTTTGTAATTTATTTGGTGACATGGGCAAAGCAGGGGCCAAACAACGTAGACAATGACGATTTATCCAATGCTCTATTAGGCGACCACCAGTTGTGCCTTCCGTATGTGCACGGACACTTCATCCAAAATGCGTCTGCCAGATGAGATGTAGCTGCGCAGATAACAAAATGGTTTTACTATCTCTACTACTTCTTCAGTTAGAATGAGGTTGTAAGTTGGACCAACTCAGTCCTGTAACAACAGAAATATCGTGGAGTTAGTACTCCCTTCTTTCGGTCCCAGTCCTCTCACGTTCAACCTCAGGCCAGATCGACCATCTCTTGACTCATTAAAAGTTCCAATATCTTCAAATGATTGTCACTGTCGTTTGAGTATGATAAAACGTGATCAGTTAGGTAGTAAGTAGCCTCCCGACATCTGACTACTTTCAGATAATTCCAAATGCGGAAGAATCACACACACACACACACACACACACACACTCATAATCTCCCCCCTCCCGCATTCCCGTTCTCAGCTTTGAGCACAGATCCCCGCGCAGTGAGGCTAGCCCAAGTGGCGCCGATCCGGCGCGATCTGATCGTGTCATCAGTTCCGAGCAAGTTCATGTGCTCCGTGTATACTCGACCAGTCTTTATTCAGACACAGTCCCTTCCTGATTAGCATGAATCAGACTATGAGTCAATAAAAGATTCGTACTGATTTCGAATAAAGCGTATTCAAAGTGTGTTTTGATTGTGGCAATATCTGTTTGGAATAAAATAAGTGAGTCGGATAAAACCGAGCAGTCTAAGATATTTCCCATTGCGGGACAGCAAATATCGATCGTTTGAGATCAAATGATATTATCACAATTTCAAACGGACCTTATGAAACGTGAATCCTGTGCAATCTTCTCTCACTTGCACGTATATGGAAATGAACAAAATGAAAAAAACGACTACCGACTAACTCGAGGAATCAACGAAATAACAAGTTCATTCTGCGTTTGCTGAATTTCTAGGTTGTAGATAGCTCCGTTCGGTGAAAACTAAGGACAAATTATAGCGATTTTAATTTATCTCGAATACAGAATGGAATAATAATAACTTGCTGGATGTAGACAATGTTTGAAATAGGGGTTGAGTACAAATGACGTCTATGACCGAAACGGTGGCCACTCTCATCCTGATGGTTGGATATCATGTGACTGTCTGGTTTGGGTATAACCAACCACCCTTCGATCAATGCTTGTTAGTCACGTGCATCACGTGAATATACGGTTCGTTGACATGATGCGCTTATCGAACGCTATTTATTTGGTCATACTGTGTACCAAAAATAAGCGTCCGTGTATTGGTCAAGTGATAAGCGGATTGCGAGAAATGTTTCACCCAATTTTGTTGTGTAGGCGATCAACTGTTTTTGGGTAATCTGCAATTGGAGATAACGTCATAAGTATTTAGTTTCGGAAAATTCAATTTCTACGCTGAAAGAAATTGTGATAATTGAAAAACCACCGAATAATCGTTCGGTTCTTACTGAAAGTCGTCAATCAGGCACTGGATTGTTTCACGTGTAGATTGTAGTTTTTGGCAGTTACATTTGTTTTATTGCCATGACAACAATTCTTTAGCTAATGCGCACAACATTGTATCCTTGGTCAGAAAAGGTGTCCTGTAGATGGTCGCTGGCGGGAAACGATCCAGAAGACGGTCACAAAGATCACGCGATCCAAAAGCCCCAGCGCATATATATATATATATATATATATATATATATATATATATATATATATATATAT